CAAGTAGGTAATGCCAAAGCTGGAATTCATACCAGAGTGTTTCTGCATGTTTGAATGCAGTGGCACTTGGTGGTTCTTGTTATTACAGTTGTCTGGCCAAAGTCATTTAGTACTGTCATTGCTGCAGATAAATTAAAGGCTTAGAAGGGCAATCAAACAGGTCTCATAACATTACAAAATACTGTTATTGAGACCGAGTATTGCTTTAATCTTTGTAGTCTTATTTCTTTGGAGCGTCCTGCACCTTATATCTAAGTATGTGCAGACATACATGGAAACGCACAGCTTTCCAAAAGTGTAAGCTGTAGTGAAACTTCAATTATTAACTGCTCAGCAGTACTGAAGGCTTCTGCTCCTCAGTATGCAGTCTATTTTACACAACTGCTTGTTTCTTCAGCATGACAGTAGGAGCTAACATTATGGCGGGGACTGCATCAAATCAAACTTGTATGTTTCTGTGGGCCCACACATTACTGTACAACAGAAGATAAATCTGGGAACTGACAGCTTGTAGTTTCCACTCTAAATCAGTTGCTGTGTTTGAATGTGGTGGGAAGAAGAGAAGCTGTTCCCTAGAAATCTAGCTTTCAAAGAAGTTTAAATTCATCTGTAGTTGAACTAAAAGCCCCGTGCTGCCTGAGAGGCTCTGTGAGGCTCTGTTGTCGGACTTTGAGGTCCACCCAGACTTCTCAGCAAAACTCCAGCCTTGAGAAGAGAAAGTACAGGAAACTAGACTGTGACCACATCTGAAAAGAATGTGTGGGGTAACTTATTCATGTGCAGGTAGAAAAAGAAATGAAAGATTGTTCAGAAATGCAAGTGGTGAATTTGGATGAATTTGGTCATGAGATCGGGAGATTTATGAGCAAAGCTGCAACAATCTGATGACTTAATGATTGACAACCAACATCTTAGTAGGTTGATCTCTGTTTTTGAGACCTGGTCTCAGGCAGACAGTAGAATTGGGTGTAAACCTGCGTGTCATAGTTCTGGCAATATTCAATGAAAATACTTCTTTTATTGGTATATACATGACCATCTTGAACATAATTTTCTTACAAAATGATGTAATTATTACTGTTTAAATAAACTGATGTTATTCATGTTTAAAATTGGCACATACATTACTGGTGATATCCCTGCACTGTTGCCAGAAGACTGAACAAAAATTTACAAACTGCTGTGATGCATCTTAGAGCCAATTTCTATTCTCCTACTCATGTGCCAAGTAAACCCTTTCTTGTGTTTCTTGATTCAGGCGTTACCTTTCTATTTTATCTTCTTTCCCATACAACCAAGTTGAATCTATTACCTTTCTTACTTGCATCTTTGTTATTCCGTGTGTTGCTGTACTCCTTTTCCCTTCCCTTCTTATCTTGTCAGTGGTTTTGATGGTGTTGGGATGGTGGCGTGCTTCTCATCGGCCTTGCCTGAAGGCCATGGTGGAGGATCTTTTCCTCACAGTGTTTTACAGCCCAGGATGGATAGTAATCGTGATAGGAGAGAGTTCCAGTGCACAGCTGTGGAGGTTCCTCTGCAGAGCTGTCCTGGGTGCTCATACAGCACAGAACTCATACCGTACCAGAACCGTCAGCTTGTGCTCCTTAATAAATGGATTCTGCTGTTTGATTTATTCTTACTTGTTATTGCTTTTAAGCCTTAAATGCATTGAGGAGTGCCTTAATCAGGAAAAGAGATCCCTAGGGACTGCCATTTGCTGCTACATTTCGAATTGCTACTTTAGGGAAAACCTTGCTGAAGTTAGTTGTGATGTAAATACAACTTTGGACGAGCGAGAAAAAAATAATTTTGTCTCTTGTTAATTGCATACCTTATGTGTAACAAGTGCTAGGTATTGTATGTTATTGCCTTTAGGAGGAAAAAAAGAAAAGCAAACTCACCAACTTTTTTCACAATTTCACAATTTTATTGCCATCGTTTGTTTTAAAATCAGCAGGTTTCATGTTGATGTTACTCACCTTTCTGTAAAGCTCCTGAGCGCTTAAAAAGGAAATGTTAACATGTTATGGATTTATTTTTTAATTCTCTGTTTTTACTGAAGAATAAAAAAGCAATGAGGAAGAAGTGAAGGGATAAACACGGTGGGTTTGGGGTCAGTGATCTGTGTTACAGGGGAAGTTTTGGCAGTAGCTCTTGACAAATGTGGCTGAGTACCTGCCAGCAGCACAGGAGAGTTAGGAATGCTGGAAGGAAATAGAGTTCAGTAACTGTAGCTGGTGAGTGCTAATTAGCACTTGTTATGTGTTGAAATGCCTTATGTAAATACTGCTGGATTAGCTGAGCATCTGTCAAGTCTGCTTTTTTTCATGGTGAATTCAAATATAAACATAAATTCCTAAGTGCAGTAAAAAGAAGAATATGGTGGAAGATGTAGCTATTGTGCTATATTAGGTTGTATCTATAGTACTGTGTTCAGTTTGGGGCACCTCAATACAGAAAGGACATTGAGGTGCTGGAGCAGATCCAAAGAAGGGCAGTAAGGCTTGTGAAGGGCTTGGAGAACATGCCCTACGAGGAGAGACTGAAGGAACTGGGGCTGTTTAGTCTGGGAAGAAGGAGACTGATGGGAGACCTTATTGCTCTCTTCCAATACCTGAAAGGTGCTTACGGTGAGAGTGGGGTTGATCTCTTCTCACTGGTGACAGGATGAGGGGAAATGGACTTAAGTTGTGCCAGGGTAAGTTTAGCTTGGATATCAGGAAGCACTTTTTTATAGAAGAGGTTGCTAAGCACTGGAATAGGCTGGAGGTTGAGTCACCATCCCTGGATGTGTTTAAAAACCATTTGGATGTGGTGCTCAGGGACATGATTTAGTTGTGGGTTGTTAGGATAGTAGGGTTGGGTTGTGGTTGGACTTCAAGGTCTTTCCAACCTGAGTACTTCTATGATTCTATTCTTCATTCACCAAGGCAGATATTTGAAAGAATTCATCTCTCAGTCAGATCTTATTATATTATGCTATACACCTGATTATGAGATCGCTAATAGTTATTTATTTCAGCCAATTTCTTGAAGACACAAAGGGTGTCACTTTGTATTTCTGTGAAATGCCTCTCTCACTTGTTGGCAGATCTGAGAATTGTATTAGGAAAATGTCATAATATAAAGTTCTTTGTTTTTTTAAAACGGAAGTGACTTTGCACTGTTATCTGTCAGCACTATTAAGAGTGCCAAGAATCCAGAAGAATGAAGTAATGGAACAAGAAAGTCTGTGCATATCTAGTATTTTTGACTGGGAGAATTGAGGGGTGTCTCCAACCATTGCCTCTTTGCTTACCCTTGAGAAAAGCAATGAGGGAGGTTCCAGCTGTCAGAGCTATGCATGAGAAGTTTGCATCTTGCTACTTGTGATTAATGTTTAAAGGAACAGACCTGTGGTAAAAATTTCAGGTATGATTGTTTAAAGCAAAGGTTGGAAAGATACCATCAACAATAATAATAATAAAAAAATAATAACCTTTCCTGTTTTGTGTTGTTAACATGCAAGTGTAACTCAGATGCAAGAATAGATGAAAAGCAAGATCTACCTGGAATGCTTTCTTTCCTGCTTTCCCTCTACTTGTGTAAATGCAAATGCGTTTAGATTACAGGAATGAACACTTAATTATTAAACTACACATCTCAGTTACTGTCTGTGCAGTCCTGCTATGCTGTGATAAGGGCCTACTCGTGTCTACATGGAAAAGGTGTGTAAATTAATGAAGACACAATATATACAGAAGCGTGTTCATCTGGAAAACACTTTCTGTATGATTTTTAATTCTTAAAAACTGTGTTGTAAAAATATACAATGAATTAATATGCTACATACAATTAACATGTACGTAAAAGTAGCAGATTTAATGGTTGCTACTGGAAATCTCATTTAATTTCAACCTTTAAACTTGAAAAATGCATTTATTGGGAGTCATGGCCACTTGAATCTGCATTTACTTGCCTTGTAACATTTTGTTCAGCTTTCTATTTTCTATAGGACCGATTCTCTGGTCCTAATTGATGTGTATGTATGTTTAGTTGGAAAACTGTTTACTACTGAGGAACTGAGGAAAAAAAAATGATAGGAACTTTGAACTTTCTTATGTTTATAACTTCTGTAGTTTCAGCCACTAGTTTGCCTAAAGGGCAAAGAGCTGCACTTTCAGATTGAGTACAGAGGAAGAAACTAGTAGGTCTTAAGCTTGATCCAAATTTACTCCCTCTACTGATGTGTATGCGCATGTTCCTATAGCTGTGTTACAGTGCTTTATATAATAGATACATGTCATTTATAAGCCTTATGTAGCTTTTCATCTCTGCCTCAACTCCATCATATAATACATACTACATGAATATACTGGCTTGAAGGAACTTGGATACTGTGACTTGTTATGGTTTTTGTTTTTTTTAATCTGGTTCTATGAATCAGTCAGAGCTTTAATAGAAAGATCTGAAATGTTTGTGTAAACTGTCAGCTTATAACCTATATCAAATGTCTCATAAAAATAGCCTTCAAGAATTTTTCTAAGGCAGAGTGAAATAGTTTAACTTAACAGAGAGAAATAAGTGATGAGATGTGGCTTCTCTGTGATGTTTTGACAGGTGGTTCTCTTTCAAAGACATCATCCTCACTAAGAATTGTTGTTCTCCACATTTCTGTTTGGGCTGTCAGTGAGACTTGGTGTGAATGAGTCCTTTTCGTGCTGTTGTGCAGGCATTCCTTTAAAGGTGCAAAGTCTCATGTTCTAGATCATTAGAATTCATGCTGACTTTTTACTGGGCCAGGCTGCTTTGAAAAGTTACGTAAGGAGTTGTGTATCACTCTTTCCTTTCTGATCAATGCGGTCTTTGCACAGTTCAAAGAACACATATTTTAACAGTGACAGCTGTTGTTATTGCCAAGTATATGAGGTTAGCAAGCCAGAAAGAATTCTTTTTAGTACAAATTTAAACAAATTTTCTTATAGAACTATGTTTTTTTTTTTTTTTTTTTTTTTTTTAAGGTGAGATTGCAGTGCAAACTGGAGATCTGTTGCCATGTAGGATTTGTGGAAGGACTTTCTTTCCAGCAGCACTGGTAAGTGCTATGAGCACTGTTGGCTTTTACGTTTGATAAGTCAATATGAAAGTTAAGCAGTGATCAGAATAGTTAAATAAAGAAGATCTAGATTATTGCTTTTTTCTGTTTTTATTTCTATTTTCTCAAGTTAACAATTCCCATTGTCTCAGTCTTGAAGCTATTTAAAGATTAATTGTATTTTGGCATCCTGTCACATTCTGGAAATTCAGATGCTTCCAAAGACGTTTTCTCTGGGGCCACAGAATCATTCCTTGCCTCTGCAAATGTAAGGCCTAACACCATTCCATCTTACCTAGCAGATGAAGTGTTCTGTTAGCAGTTTTCAAAATTCCTGCCTCTTCAGTCTTAATATAAGTTGAATTGTCCTTAAATATAAATATGAATTTCAGACAGTTTCTGATCCATCTTTCCTCTTAATACCAATGCTGCCTACAACCTATCAGTTTCTTTATTTGTAAAGAGCAAATACAGATGCCTCCCTTTCTCTTCCTTGCTCAGACCCCATACCCCAGTTCCTGTATGTCTGTTAAAAAAAAGTAATGCTGGCATAGGAATTTGAGTGAAAGCACTCTAATCTTACTCATCAGGACCTGAGCCTCATTTGCTTATTGGCACATCTAGAAAGAGGAAAATAACATGTTAATAACACATTTCTAAAAATAAATTCTGCTTTCTCTTTAATTTCTTCTTCTATTTGTAGAAAAAGCATGGACCCATTTGCCAAAAAACTTCTGCCAAGAAAAGGAAGACATTTGATTCCAGCCGCCAGAGAGCAGAAGGAACTGACATTCCCACAGTAAAACCTCTTAAGCCACGGGTATGTTATAATTTACTCCCTATTTGAACATTTTAGGTAAAATATGTATATGTTATAATAAGGTTTACTTCTGCTGGCAATTTGTGATAATTAGATCGATCAACAAGGATCTGGAATGAATTTATAATAAATGTATTTAACGTGAAATAAGAGCTTCAAACATAAAAAGTTGTGGGGTTTGTTTTTTTTTGACTTCTTAGCCAGAACCCCCCAAAAAGCCATCCAATTGGAGACGAAAGCATGAGGAATTCATAGCCACTATACGAGCAGCCAAAGGACTTAATCTTAAAGATGGTGGAAAACTTCCTCCACCACCTCCGCCATCATATGACCCTGGTATGTAAAACTATTGAGTTCCTTAAAGACTTTTTTGTAACTTAATATATAAAATTTTGTATATTGGGGACTTTTTTTGAATACGATATTCATGAGTTCTTGAAGATTCCTATCTGGTTATCCCTATGCAAATGTTCTTTCATGACTGTTGGATCTGACTGGCTAGTGTCCTGAGTGGTTTTCCATGCCTGTTACTTTGTTTTTAATGCACCAAAAGGTGGTTATAGCTAACTTGCTAGTATGTTACATACTGTAGGTTGTACAAATTGTTTCAGCACCTTATTTCTATCTTCTGCAGAGGAACAACTCAGAGCAAAGTTTCTTTTTAATTGGCTGCCAATTCTGGACATCTACATCCTTTATATATTGTGAAGCTGTGTGTTTGTCCAGTGTAGTTTACCATTTCTTTCTGATTTCAGATGTAGTTTCATAATTGCACTGTATGTACTTAACTGTTCTAGGCATGCTTATGATCCTTCCTCGTGCACTGGGGAAGACTTGTGTTTTAGAGTGTGTGAGATCAGTGGAACTTATATTAATATGCGAGTAACATTTCTTCAGTGCCCTCAGACCTTGAGTTAGGATGAGCATGCAAGCAGTCTGGGGTGATAAGGGAAAAACACTTTTAAGTGAACTTCTGTCATGTGATTGTAGGTTGGAGAATATCTTTGTTCAGGTCTTAAGTGGTAAGCCATTTGATTAACTCAGTGGGCATTTTCAGAAAGACTGGGAAAAAACATAAAAAATCATCTATTTGCTTCTGGCTGTCTGTGATCTTGTGAGGATGTCAGTAGTTTATACCTTCATTCTCCTCAGGAAATGCATTAGTCCTAGTGTAAGGACTGTAGCTGTGCATTCATACTGAGAAGTGAAGAGTCATATTATTCAGGATGCTAGGAAACATCAGGCCTAATCATGGAAAAGATCAATAAGTCAGTTGTGTAGGTTCTGAATTACAAGAAGAGAAGACCAGAACGAAATTTGCCACGCAGAAGCAATTGAAGCAGGATTCCCTTGGCACCAGTCTGCAAAAGAATGCAAGTAAAAGCGATGCGAAGAAAGTTGCTCTCTTCACTTTGCTTGAGTGTGAAGAGGTACAGGGAAGAGCACAATATTATGCCTTTGTTTATCTTCCTTCCTTTTCACTTTCCCAAGCTGTGCTTTATTATTTATAGTCTCCTTGCTTCATCCTGTTGCAGTGGGTAAGGAGTGAACCAGGAACAAAGATGTGTCAGTTAATTATGGACTCTTCCCACAAAACAAAACAAAAACCTGCAAACAACAAAACAGAGCAGAGGTAGCTACAGTTCTGCCTTTTTCACTTTATGTATGGGAAGAAAGAGGAATTACACAGTGTATCATGCAGTATATCCATCCTCTTCTACTCAGCTCTGTTTTTGGTACACCTACTTCTAGGTAGCTGTTAGACTGTTTTTCCTTTAAGTAGGAAATATCAATACAGAATATTTTTCTTTTAACTGCTTGCTTTGAGTTTGGGAAAAAAAAAATAGGCAGTATTGTTCCTTCTTTGATTGCCTGCTCCTATGTTTCTTTAGAAACAGTGTAGAAAAACCTGATGATGTTGAAAAGGATTTTAAGTCATTCCTATTTTCACTGAACTTGGCTACGTATGTTTATTGCCTATTTATTTTGATTTGTTTGGACTGTATTGAGTTTACATTGAATCTTAACAGTTGTTCTGGATGGTACTGTCTGGTCCTGGGCAATCTGCTGCAGGTGTTCCTGCTTGAGTAGGGCCTCCACAGGTGGCCTCCACCAGATGGCCTCCACAGATCTGTTTCAACCTCAGCTGTACTGTTCTATGGTAGCTAGGTGGCTGCCTGGTGCTAAGCATTTTATGAAAGGATAAAGATACAATCCCTTATACTTAAGAAAATACTTGTTAATCCTCTGTTGTCTGATTCACTTACTTTAGTCAGCTTTGAAAGTCTTTTCTAGGCTATCAGGGCTTCCATAATTGCTTGATTAATTGATTATTTTTTTTTTAATTTTATGTTTATACTTTCTGCTTGGCCTAACATGGTTTGACCACAGATGTTTTTTAAATTTTTTAAAATTTCTGAGTTTCCATCTCTTAAGGTGTAGTTTATGCTTGAGAATTCTGTCAGTAGTGGAGTTTATGTAAAAATAAACAATCGGTGTTGCCACGTGAGATTCCCATGCCATCACTTCTGCGACGGATTTCTATGTTTTTCTTGTAGTCTTTCTCTCTCTTTTTCAGGTCACTATTCATAGTTTTCCAACCATTAAGCGTTTGAACTATTCAAGATTTTCTTCTTTTAAAGGGATAAAAAGAGATAACTGTAATCCAGATCTGCTGTGTTTGGAGTAGTAACATGTAATCTCAGTCTTACTTTGGATTGTATGTGTCTGTGATCTTGAAGGGCAGTGACTGTTGCATTTCTTTGTTTTCCTTAATGCACTTATAAAAACACATGGGAACATGCTAATTTAAACTGCTGTGATGGTGCCCACATCTTCTGAATTTGATATTTACATGGCTTAGAATAATGTACTCTGAGGAATTAAACATCCGTATCTCTAGATGCTAAGATATCTACTGGAAACTGAACTATAACAATTTACTGTCCAGGGGCAGTACATTTTAAGGGCTATATTATTAACACTCAGGTGAAGGATTTTGTAGTACTTTAAATACTTACACAACATGAAATGTTGACTATATATTATGTATATGTTATTATTTATTTTAAATGATCCTTTTTTAAGAATTGCAGTTGATACATCTCAATTCTTTCAAAATGACAGGAGGAAAGAGAATTTATTGTCTTTAGCTATTTGTATGGGAAAGTTATTGATGTTCTTTCTTATCTTGAACAAACAGAACCGTACTTGTCATTCGTTGTTTAGCCTCTCCTGCACTCTCTGCCAGATAAGTTCCAAACCATTTCCATCTACCTGTTTTGCTACCTTCCATGCTGAATAGCATCTCTCAGATTATTCTTGTTTTCACATGAATTATCTCTGATCTTCAACTGCTCTTCTCATTCTTATCATCAAGCAAGAAACATCATTGCACAGTAATCTTTTCCCCAGTAATGTGTATTCCATTTTCAAAACCAAAAGACCTTAATTTTCTCTGGGATTTGAGCTGGTCTTTAAAAGACTTGAAAACACTTTTTATAACGCTTGTTTAAAATACATTACTAACGTTATGCTTTTGTTTTTTTTAAGATTACATTCAATGTCCATATTGTCAGAGGAGATTTAACGAAAATGCAGCTGACAGGCACATCAATTTCTGTAAGGAACAAGCAGCACGAATTACAAATAAGGGGAAACTGGCAGCTGATACCAAAGGGAAGGTTCCTACTCGAACACAGGTGAACTACAATATTTTTCTTAAATTGTACTTTGCTTTTGGTATCAAATCAAGCTTGTTAAATATTTTATGTTGCGCTTAACTTGAATTAATTGTTTTCTTCTGTAATTTTATTATTTTATGCACTATAATATTATTAAATTAGACACTAAGCATGGGAGAGGTTTTTGTTTATGAAAGTTGCAGTCGGAGATTGGTAAATGAAATAGTAGCAGCTGCAAAACTGAAAGCTATCAAATATTATTAAGACTTGTGAAAATGACCAATAAAGATAGCAGAAGGAAGTATAAATGCAGTGTTTGCAAACAAAGCTTCGTTTCTTTTGTGCCTTCTGAATCCACTTCAACACTGTTCCTTAAGTAGGCAAATAAAGGTACAGCATTGTTATATTTGGCTAAATAGAGGCTTAGAAAATTCAGGCAAATCAGGCCAAGGACTGCAGTTGTTAACTTGCGGATTAACAAGTGAAGGATTTAAGTGTGATTCTTCATTTCGTGGGGAACCAAATGAAGAAGTTTTTTTGGTGGTTTTTTTTTGTTTGGTTGGTTGGTTTTTTTTGGAGGCTGTGAAGAGTAAACAGACACAAGCAGTTAGTCTAGTGATTCTTGTACTATATTCTAAATCAGTATTGGACTGAATGAGAACACACATCACTTTTGCCTTTCAAATCCTATTTTAACATGTTGCCCTGGAATATCTTTTTTAAAATACCGGGTAAAGAATTGGTAATGTTAAGCTCTTGAGAAATCTACGAAAAAAGAATATATGAGAAAAGCAGTAGAAAAGTGGAAAGAACGTAGCATGTGGTTAAATGAGAAACAAACAAGCAAAAGCCACTAGGTTGGACAGTGTTTCCCACTAGTATATCTCAACATGTACAAGGCTGCAGGCTAGTGGGAACCTTTTGTCTAAGCCAGGTACCAACAAGCTATTTGCTAGTACTCAGTTTGTTTTCCCGTAGTGCCTGAAATAACTAGCTGTCATATTGCATAGATAGTTAGACTTCATTGCTTAAATTTCTAGGCTGTATTTTGTTACAGTACAAGCCTGCTGCAGTTAAGAAGATGCCTTCTGCAGTGTCAACACCACCGTCATTATCATCACGTCTACCGCAGCCAAGTGGTGTTAGCAAAGCAGTTGTAGGTATGAAATGAATGTTAGCAATTTTGCATTTCTTTTCTGAATACTATTTTTCAGGCTATGTAGTAGAAGTAGTAAAATAGCTGGAAGGATTTCTAAAGCATTGCCAAGTGATTTAAACTGAAGGAGTAAAAACGTCATGGGAGGAGATCAGTGTTACAAGAGTGGATAAGATGGTTTCTGTCTTTCATGATAGAATTAATATTTTAGTTGCCTGATATTTTTTCTGATTGCATAAATGATAGCTTTGTACTTCATTGTTCAAATCTACACCGTTCCTTAGAGATGCTGGGGAGATGGGGAGAACATAGATTGGAAATGACAGGTTGTTCCTTCTTCAACAAGACCCTGAAGCATGTAGAAATCTTGTGTTTTGTATATCAGGTCAAACTGGAGATTCTCTGAAAATTAAACTTGTAAAAGCAGTTCATGAAATAAATGCATAATTTTGCTTAATACTGATCTTTCATATTAGCTATTTCTTTTGCCTCATTCTGCAACTAACTTGTATGCTGAATGTGATCGTGAATTGGTGAAAATACACGGTCAAGCCATGTATGTTATAATTATACAGACTACTCTTACTATGATTTCAGTTATTGATAGGATTCTGTTTGTACATACTTTGATATTCTAGACTTTATTTCTGAAGAAATTGAGATCCGATTTTTTATCAGAGTAGAAAATGTTCTCAATTGGATATATGCTATAAACTTTTGGAAGGTCACCGGGTTATTTTTTTTCCTAGTATCTTGATATTTGTTAATACTTTTATACTTCTATAACTATTGTTTTGAATTTTACAATAAATCTATAGTGAAGAATGTTTTTCAAATAGCAAAATCTTATGCTTTCTTGTATTTCCCTGCTTGCTTTCAACTGTAAGGCTCCTCTTCAAGTAAAGCATTGTCTTCAGCTGGATCCAGTGGCAGCAAAATTCAGTCGTTATCACCAGCTCATAAAAACTCATTGGGAATGGTGAACCCACAAGCAGGGTAAGTTCTCATTTAATGTTGTCATTAATGGCTTTTTTCATATTTATTTCTACTAGTTCTAGAAGAGGCTTTGGGCTGTTCTTTGTTGTTCTTTTTGTTGTCCTTTTTTCTGCAAGCTTCAAAATGCGGTGCTTGGAATTCATCTTTTATTTATAGACAAAATTAATGTTTAAGGGACATTGGAGGAGGTGAAGATGCATTTTCTAATGTTAAAATAATAGCAAAGGATGTGAAGTGATAAAACTGCATAAAAAAGATTTCATAGTTTCAGAATATGCAGAAGCAGTTGGAACTGTACTGGTTTTCTTTGTAAAATTGAAAAGATTTTAATAAGAGAAAATACCAAGCATAACTTCTAGAATTTTGTGAAAATAAAATAAAGACACTTCTGCCATGGCTCACAAGGCAATTGTGACAAAATCTTTCTCTCACAACAGAATGGCACCTCTCCTCCTCTCTTCCTTGTAAAATAGGTGAGACAACACATGAAGGCAGTAGAATCCTGTGCTCTACAACAGTAACAAGAAATGGTAGATATAGATATTATTAGTGTTTCCTGAAAGTGTCTATTTTGCTTAAGTCTGTTACTAGTGTTTGGTAAGGAGATATTCAGTGCAAGCTCTATAAAAGAAGAAATGTATAGGGGGAACTGAAGATAAGTGCTAGAACAGCATCACAGAATGGTTGAGGTTGGCCGGAACCTCTGGAGCTGTCTGGTGCAACCCCTGCTCATGCAGGGACACCCAGAGCAGCCTGCCCATGCCTGTGTACAGGTGGTTTTTGAAGATCTCCAAGAAGAAGAAATAGAGAGGTTGGAAGCCTTTGAAATCAGAAGGAATCTCAGTATTAGATGAAGAAATTCGTTGTAACTGGAAATGGGAAAGGAAAAGGATTGTTATTTTGCCATGCACTGTGAAGACCTTAGCTTTTCTTTGCCTTGTATCAGACTTCTGCTTTTCTGTTCCTGCTGCTCTCTTTTCCTGTGTCTTTCCTTCAGAACTGTAAGATTTCGTGAAAGTGATACAAGTCATTGTGAGAACAAGTGGCTACAGAGAATCATCAGGCTATGGATATTGTAGATAACTATGATTTGGTCAGACGTAACTCTTCAGAGGCAACAAATGAGTAGAGTATGAGAGGAAAGAAAAAGCTCATGTTGTGTATTTCAGGCAAATGAAATAAGTTGAATGTGAATAGAAGGAAATTATTTTTATTGGAAGAAAGGGGAAACAGGGTTGGGCATGATGAGAAGTGAACGTTACTGCTGGTGGACAGGTGGGCAAGCATGTTAATGATCATTTACCATGATCATTGTGTGTATGGTAGGGAACGGTGATATAAGGAAGAAAGAATAGGTGGAAATTCTGGTTGCATCGAGAGTAGCTAAACTGCGGGAGGGAAATAATGGAATTCAAAACAATGTACAGAGAGAATCAGATGGCTGAACTGCAGAAGTTGAATTAACACTCGAAGTAGGTCTGCAAAGACCTGCAAAACAAGTCAGCTGAGATAAGTCGAAGGCATGTTCCTGACTCCAGTGGTCAATCACAGCTATTTGGGAAAGATTCTTTCCTACTGACAGTTTCCAATTGCAGTCTATTAGTTTGTGAGTAGATGCAGGTTTTGATCTTCCCTTCTTAACAAGACAGTTTTATTGAATTTTAGCAGTCAGTTGCTCACTGAACTTACTACTTATTTTTGTCAAGATTGGAGGAAGAATTGTGATGTGACCAGATCAAACAGTAATGTATGGAGAGGTGTTAGCACATGTTCTCTGTTTTCACATGCTGTTGCCTGCAAATAGATGACTTCTTTTTGGCATCGCTCTCAGATAATGTTCTCTGCAGGGAGGCGGTGAATATTAGCTTGGCTCATAATGTCACTTAGTTGCCTGTACAATTGTACCTTTTTTTTAAAAAAAAGAGTGTGAATGTGATGATGTGATGAATGCTTCTGCCTGCAGTCCTTCTTACTTCCCTTTTGTGTGAAAAAACAGCAACAACAAAAACAAATAACTTCTATCCCATTCTTGCCTTTTCCAAGCAATCCTTGTGTTTCATTGGTGGTCATACTAACTGGTCTTCTCAAGAAGTCAACTTACTGAGTATCTTTTCTAAGCATTCTAATTGAGAACTTTTCTATTGTGTGTGTTGTACTTCTGAGAGCAAGTTTGTCAGGAATTATGTTGAAGCAAAGAGACACAGGAGTAGTTACAACATGGAAAAATTAGATGCCTCACTTTGGTCACTACTGGAAAATTTTGGCCTTAATCTACCCTCAGCTGTAGTATTTGGGAGGAAGTGTATACATTTGAAATGTGTAGGGCTCTATTGAAATACCTACAGACTTCTATCTGAGTAAAGAGCAAGTCATTAACAGTCAACACAATGAAGTCAGAGTAAAAATGATTAACATTGTACTGAAACCAATTTTAGGCATTGGAGTGTCAAATAATTAAAGCTTTAGCTAATTGCAGCTTAAAATATTTTATATCTTATAAAAGCTGCTCTTCCTTCTGAGTTGTTATTGAACTGATTTACTGAGTACAGTGTACACATATATTGTTTTAAGTGCAGTCATTCAAATGTTAAGAATGTTAGTTTTCTAACATTGGTTGGTTTGTTGGTTTTTTTTTTTATTTTTTTGTTTTTTGTAGTTGCTCAGGAGCTGAGATTTTTTTGTTGTTTTGGTTGAATTCCTGTCTTGCTGTAGGAAAAGACCTCCTGAAGTGTTATTCACACCCTAAGACAAACAGTAATTTTTTTTTTTTTTTTTTTTTTTTTTTTTGTATTCATAAAGTGAGGTCTTCCATTTTTTGCTTAGATTGTTTTAATTCCAGATTTCACAGAGGTTTTAAGGCTGGATAGAATTACAATTATAATGTGTCGTGTCAAGGATGAATTAAGTGGATATTAGAGAGGGGCAATTTAATCCGACACTGACTCTTCCTCTTCAAGGTACCTGTTCACTGTGATGGTTATGTGAAGGGACAAGAAACTGGAATCTTTGGCTAATTAAACGACTAGAAGGGATTAAAATGCCCGGGAATGCAGTTTCACTGTTGCTCTCTAGATGGCACTCTTGAACTGCTGTCAGAAGCTGTTCTGAGAGGCGAATGAAGCTGTTGGTGCACTTCTGTTACAAGTGAGGGCTAGAACAGTGTCTCAGGTGTTTCGTTATGTACAGGAAAAAGTTATGTAACTTCATTTCATATAAAGCTCAACTCCAGTATTGTAGTATGTATTTTTATTTTATCAGAACAGAAATGCAACCAAAATATACGAATTATGTTATTTTAACATTTTGATATAATATTTCTATTCTTTTACTCCCCATGTAGAGGGCCACAGTTAAAGCATCAACAAAATAAGCTCAATTTAGCTTTATTCAGACTGATTTTGAGCATGTGGGTCTGAGTGTGTCAGCAGAGCTTGGCTGTGAGAGTTTTCTTTTTCTACCTTAACAGAATAAAAGCACAACTATTTATAAATATGAATGGAAATGTGGCTTAAGGGCATCGTTTTTGAGTACTAGAGAAGCAAGTGAGAGTGCAAGAGTAGTGTGTGACCATGTACTGCTTCACTAGGAAGACCTCCATTTACTTGAAAAATTCTACGTAAATTTGTAGTTGGGTTTACATTTTGATGTGAGATGTTAAAACCCAAACTTTGATACATCTTTCATAAGAACACAAAGTTTAACACTTGTCTTGCATTTCTTGAGGGGTAGGGCAGTTCTCAAGCTGCCAGAAATAATAACTCCAGGAGGGAAAATTGGGTAGGTTCTTCCTATTCTACTGCTAAGCAAGCAGCCAGATTCCACCCACACAAACTATGTTTCGCACGGCAGAACTTAACTCTTTGTGGCCAATCACCTTTTGCATATACAGATTAATTTCTCATCTCTGCGTATTTCATGTATGAACATTAATATTTTTTCACTGTAGCTTGGAAAATTGTTTTTCAGTAGGGCAAACGTGCCCTTAGAGATTTCTCTCATTTTATTTGTGAGGTATATTGTAAATTTCACATAGGTGCTTACCATACTGTACCTGTAACCTTTAAAAGCAATCTCCTTAAACAAGACTCTAAGACAGCACAGTTCAGTGAAATCAAGGCTAATAAGTCATCTTGGTGGTCAAAGATTCTTTTGATTGCACTTGTATTCATTAGTACCTGAAAGGGCTCAGCATGTTTTGGGTTGTTTTTTTTTTTTGTTTTTGTTTTTTGTCTGTTGAAGGATATTGCAATGCTTCAGTTTGGCAGTCATGACTGCTGTTAGGATACTCCTCAGTATTTTATATTGCAGGTGCCCAGAGTTCACCTATCATGTTTTGAAAGTTCAAAAGAGAGCTAAGGAAATCACAACAGGTTGCAGTATGTGTCATGCAGTGTCAAAAACCTCAGTCTTGCTTCTCATTTTTGGGAAATATGTCTTTGGCCAAGCAGGAATTGATTGAATGTTTCCTGAGTTGATTAGCTTGAGCTAGAACATCTGTTGGGAGGAGAAGTGGGAAGAAGAACTCAAGGGAAACTCATCTGATAGCCTGCATTGAGAGTTAAATTGTCAGACTAATATCTCAGTGCTCCCTTCTGATTTCATAATGAATGACTATCACTTAGCATTGTTCAATTTTTGCTCCCTATGAGGTGATTTCCTTTGATACTTTACAGATGTAACGTGGATTGAAAGGTTCTCAAGCAAAGAGTCTCAAAATCCAAATTGTCTTTGTAAAATGTATAGGTCCTGTACTTTTTAACATGCTAATACAGAAGAAGCATGAGAAGTTGTGTGATACAAATGCTGGAAGTTCACAAGCTCTTTTTCTACTGTTGCAATTTTTTTTTTTTTGTGAGGTATTAAAAGCTACATGAAGACAGTGAGCTTCCTTGACAGATGTTTAGTGATTTTTCTAGTATTGCAGTTCTTTGATGTTAGATGACAAGAGTCGAAAAATTTATTTTAATTTTATTGCATTATTTCTCTCAGTTGGAGAGTGTATTTTTTTTCATTGTTACTTACATTCATTTGTTTTCCTTATGACTTCCCAGGAGGGTAGGGAGCTTCAGAAGAGCTTAGCTTCAGCAGCCTACACATTTTAATCAATTTTGGTTGGCTTGTTTGTGTATAGCTCTTTAATTTCAGAAGGATCAATAAGAATACTCTGAGATTGTCTTAGTTTTTCAGTTAGAGCTATTATTTTTGCTGGCAATAAGAAGAAATGTTTTGTTACATTACAGACATGGGAATGGAGATATAATTGAATTTTGCAAGTTTTACTGTTTTAAGATGATAAAAAAGCAGGATTTTACAGGAAGACATAATTTTTCTGATACAAATTATGATTTCTCAAGAATTAGTGTCTCTTTTGATGATGTTGAAGGGAGAGAGGTAGTGTTTTGTGGATTTTTTTTTTAATAATCTTTTTGGTTCAGAATTGTTATCCCTAATAGTTGGGGAAAAAAATTATTACAAAAGTACCGCCTGTACATAGTGCTACGTACATGCTGTGAGTGGGTGTTTTAATGATTAAAACAAACTTATTCTTCTTTCAGGCTTTCTTCTGGGTTTTTTTCCTTATTTCTTCTCAGATAACCTTCAACGCTTTAATTTAAGAAAAAAAATTGCGTGGGGGAAAACAGTTTTTCTTTCCTGCTAATCCTGAAGTCAAAGAGGCTCGTACTTGCATCTTTTACTTTCTAACATCTTAATACAGTTGGCATGGGTTGTAAATAGGAACCTCGTTTTCTAGATGGGGATGAATTTAATGTTATGAAAAAGATTCTTAAGACAAAAAAAGCCTAAATGTGAGTGTATTGTGTGAACTATGAATATAACTAGCAATAATTTTATCCTTTTTTTAATAAACATATGCATTGGAAACTTAATCCAATTATAAGCCTACAAAATTATCCCCTTTTTAAAGTAAGAACTTCCCTCTCGTTTGCTGGATAAATGTCTTTTTGGTAAATAAGAATTCTTTGGGAATATAGATGTAATTGTAAGTACTTTTTTGCAATAACTTAAACAGCAATTTGACAATCTCCTTATGAGTACCCCTTTATATATTTTAGTAGTAAGATGGACAAGTTAGGCCCACCACTGCGAACTGGAAGAGATGTGCAAAGGTTTTATGACACTGATAGAAAAACAGACAGTACCATCAAAAGACCAAATGAATTGTTGCCTATAAAGAAGTAAGTATCACAAATGAGCTTGATTTATCAGTTATACAGAACTGTTCCTCAAAAGCATTGGAATATTAGAAGTGTGGCCTTGATAGATATCTGCTTCCTAGTACGTTTTCGCTATAAATGTTGTGGGAATATAATTAGTGTATTTATTTCACATCAGGCAAATTGCCTCATGGTAGGAATGGAAAGGGGATGAAAACGTTCTTCAGGTTTGATTTCTTTTGTCACTGATTCTGCACTCAGAGTAATGTGCTCTGTAAAGCTGAGATAAAACTGAAGCGATATGATGCAAAACTTAAGCAAGCATTTAAACCTGTAGAACGGCTGATAGCTTTATAAATGATTGCTTTACATGCTAATACTTTATGGCAAAGGAATTTTATTTTGCTCTTGAAATCAAATATTTCCTTCTTCTTCTATAAGATAGCTGTGATTGTCCAAGAGTGTAGGTAAGGTAAGCTTGATTATGAAAGATTAAAATCAAGGCTGCTTTGGAAGAAATGGTGTTCTATCTTTTAAAAAGGAAATTATTAAAATGTTAACATAATATAATTGAATTTGACATCTTTCAAATTACAGTTGACTGTTTCTTCCTAAATACCTCAAAGCGTATTGCAAAAGAGTAATTAGTAATGAATTATGTAGCCCATATTTGGAATATACTGATATACATAGCAGAAACGTATTTAAATCTTGCAATGCTGTTTTAGTGTTGTAACCAAAGCTGAAATATTCTGGCCTTATCCTAAAAATATTTCAACTTTGGTTCCTATTAAGAAGCAAAAGGAGAAAAGGGAGGGGATGCCTCCAAGAGAGGTACAGAGTGTGTGTGTCTGTACGTGTCTTCCTTTGCACACCTAATTGGAGGCATGAATCCTGTGAACTTTTGAAAATTAGGTCAATATAAATTTTATATGCATTCACTAAGACTTATTTTCAGTATCTCAGTAGTTCCTAAGCATGCTTACAGTAGCCTTTGTCTGTAGAGAAGGGACTTCTTTAAAAAAAATTCTCTAAAGAATTTAGGCACTTACTGTGGTCTTCATAACCTTACTGTTTGAGTTGTACTTACTCAAATGTTCACTGGAATTGTGGATTAAACCTGTCTTCCTTGCAGGAGGTTATTGAATACATTGCATTCATATGGCACTGGAGAATGTGAATAACTATTAGCCAGTGTTAAATTCCACATAGTGATGTGGGTAATCACAGTTTAGGGCAAAGACTCCTGGATTTCGGTGTTCCAGCTGAAAATTATTTATGATTTTGCCCTGAAGCATGAGCTGTGGTGGGTGACAGTGATACCTGTCAAGAACATCTGAATACTCCCTGTTTAGGAAGTAAACTTGGTGTTTCAGTCATATAAAGTAAAATATGACCAAATTGCAAATGCCTAGACAAAAAAAGGCAAGCTTCTCATGCAAATTTGTTTCAGGTTTTGATTTTGCAAGCAGTGGTAATTCGACTAGATGTACAACATGAACTGCTTAGGAGCAGAGGTCACCTTCAGTCCTAATTCTTTTGAAATAGAGGCATAATAATAAACATTTGTAAAGGCACATCTAAATGTTAAGAATTAAAGATGACACTGACAATCTCATCTGCTGTCAGGCTCCATCAGTACTTCATGTTATACAGCTTAGAACAGGTATTATATGTATGTTGTTTATAATTACATATAGGGAGGCATATGTCTGTAATTATACTAGACAAATGGCAGTAATAGCAGAGGTTAGACAAGTTGGAAGAGACCAAGCTGTATGACTGAAGTGGAGATGATGAAGAATCTTTGGCCATGTTGGAAGACATCTGTCTCCATAGATCAGATTACATCCTGCAGATTCAGTTTCAAAACTGGTTATCATATGTATGTTAAATCTGATGCTAATTTTAGCGTCCTGATCTGGGATGCATGAAGCTACAGACAGTGGCAGCCTGCTACTTCTGCTATTGATTTACTTGTAAAAAGATAGAAATCAATGTAATTGCTTATAGGGCTAGTATATCAGTCTAAGAATATTTTTGGCCATGTTTTTCAGTACTTTGTTTTTTTGGTGTTTTTTTTTCCTGGTTTCATCAATAACTTGTGTGTCATACTGGACATCATTTAAATGATGGTTTTAAGATGCTGAAAATGTGGGAAAAAAAAACAAACTGACTTATTAATAGATCAGAAGAATTTGGTTTAAATTATCTGGCATTGCCTAAACAGGAACTGGGACTCAGTTCTATTCATTCTTTCCTGTCGTCACTGAACCATGATCCACTGTTTCTATTTCTTCATCTGAATTATTCTTAACATGCTCTTCTAGCTTTCAGAGCAAGTGAAAGTCCAGTACGTGTTCCTGCATTACTGAGCTTTACTGAATTTTACTTGCATTTAAGGAAAGGTCTGTCTCCAATGTAAAAAGAGATAGAGAAGATAACACATGCTAGTTTTTATGATCTGTACAGTTGTGCATACTTGTGACAGCATAATTTGAATTGGTTAAAACTTTTTTATCCTGAAGGTCTGTATCTCCTGAAAAACTGATATAACTTAGGTGTTAGTTCTGATATAAAATTATGTAGTGCTTTTCAATCCACGTTGTTTTTTTTTTTAATGGAATCATGTTTAGAATCTCTTTGCTGAGTAAGAGAGCAGATAGGAAAACTAAAGGAGAAGAAGCTGGTATTCTTCCCAGTGAGCCAGAATCTCTGATAATTCCGATATGCCTGTTGAATGCAGAAGCCATTCCTGTTAAATCTGAATATTCTATTCAAATGTACCTTTACTTGATTCAATCTTAAATTTTGTTCCTGGATTCCATTTTCGTGCTTAATCATTTGATCACTTTTCCATTGAATTATTTTAAGTCACTGGTTTTAAACAGAAGGAACTGAAAAGCCCTTCTTAGCCTATATTACTGATATGGAAGAAAAAGTTGCCTGAAATTCAGGAGTTGGTACACTGATACTTACTTGTGTCAGTGAAGCATTTGAAGTTTTTTCTTCATTTACACTTGAAAAAACAAACCAAGAGTATGTTGTCTGTGATTCTAAAAGAGCAGATAGGCTCATCTGGAAAAAATCATTGTTGAGGTTTTTCTTACTGACCGGTCTCTTAGTGACTAAATTTTATGTGAGATCCTGTTTTAATATTTCTTCTTACCCGTGAGCCCGTCCCAACTTTAATGTATTCATCAGTGTGCAAGAATGAGAACCAAAAAACTTGGTTGGTCATGCACAAGATGTCATAGTCACTGAAGCCTTGCAAGGAAGAAATCCTGATGAATAGTAAGTCTCTTGAGCAATGAAGAAAAATTCTGTTCTTGATTACAGATGGAAAAAAGGATGCCCACTCTTATCTTTCTTTTCCTTTGTGCTGCGGAGATTTTCCAAAGAATTCTGAAGTTTTTATCACTCACTAAAGCAAGCACAGAGATGTTCAGTGTGTTTAGGATGTGCACTGGAGTTTAGAAATTATATACTGGTGCTGACAAGACCCACCAGTTCATTGTGACCTGCAGTCTGCTGCTTTCTATTTCTCTGAAATCCCTGCCAATACTATAAAGTGACTTACAATCTGTCAAAGAAGACCTTAGAATATACTAAACAATCAGTAGTGTGGGTTCTGCTTGTATTTTGTTATGATAACAAACAAAATATGTGAACAGGACAGGACTTGTGCCATCATTGAGCTTGCAGTGCAAGATTAAATTTATGTGCAGTCCAAAGCAAGCAAAGATTTTCTATCTGGTGTTCATAGGAAATAAGCTATTAATGCAGTAAAGCGACAGATGGGTGGATTATTGAATTTTTGTATTTTTGTATGTTTGTAATTTTTGTATGTAGCATAAATATTCTTGTGTGTATATAATTGATCAATATTTTTTTCTGTTTTAGAGGTGCGACAAAAACACGGATGTCAACCCCTCCTAGTGTGGCAAGGACTATGAGCACGGGTGCTCTATCAAACAAAAGAAAAACTAGTAATTCAGACAGTTACTCAAGGTAGCTTTTAGTTTTGTTATTTTATCAGCAATAGAATCTTCACTTAAGAAGAGTACTCATTGCAGAATATATTTTCCTTACTCTAATACATCAGCATTGTCATCTGGTGTCTAAGATGTGCAGGAGATAGTGTTAGAAATGTCAAAAATCTCTTAGGAATAGTTGTACATTTGGGTGAATGCTCTTTTGAATCACATGTGGCTCAACAGAAGTTAAATGAAAGTTACATGCACAGTACGTACAGAACTTGTCTGGTGTGTGCCTATTAAAGGGGAAAAAAATATTCTTTTAGACTTCCTTTTAGACTTTCTTATTTTGATAAGCTAATTTTTGTAAGTTTCCAAATGGTCTGTTTAACACAAAGACTCAAGAACTTACTTGATCCAGCTTCTAAAAATTTTGGCACTTTTTGTTGCCTTGTATCTGGAGATAAGTAGGGGAATTTCAATAAATTTACAAGGAAGGTAAGCATGAAAATAACGGCAGTAATTCACTGCAAGGATTTAAATAATTTTGGATCAAAATATATTGAAGTGAGTTAGTTGGAGTTCTTTATATCTGCTTTTTCAGGTCTGATGGTAAAACTGGGAATGACACTGCTGGCTACCTATCGTCAGTCAACGGAGGAAGTTCAAAAAGCAATGAAGGAAATTCATCTGTACAGTTACCTAAATTTTGCCATGAATGTGGAACAAGGTATCCAGTGGAATGGGCAAAGTTCTGCTGTGAGTGTGGAATTCGAAGAATGGTTGTGTAAATGCATTCTTAAAATCAAAGAGAAAGGGAGATCCTGAAAGCATCTGCTACGTGCTGCTGCATGGAAAGCGAAAACACTCCAAGTTAGGCTTCATGCTGCAAACATGTTGAAGCATTATAATTTTCTGAGTGCAATCTGCTGGTTACATAGTAATTTATATATAAATATGTATACTGTATATAAAAGTAACAGGTACCTAAAACTGTGCCATTCAAGGAAATACTCTTTAATCTCAGTTGGAAATATTTTAAATTAGGGTAAAAATGTGTTAAGTAATTTAAGTGGTGGAAGTGGTTCAGTGTTACTTTTCTTATATAATTCTATAGAATTTAAGTCACTCACCCATAGGGAACTAGCCATGAAGAATTTCTGCATCAAAAGTTTCTCTGTGGAGGCATTTCTTTCTTAAGTGATAGTAATTAGATGCTATCTGTGTTGTAAGTGAAAACAACACGAGCAACTCCCTATAAATTCCTTGTTATAAGTGCAAAAACTGGAGTGCATCAACCTCTTCACTGTAATACCCTAACTGAACTTTCCAGTTACTTGCAGGATTTTTTTTAATGATTCAAATAGGAAAAAGTCTGAAAATTCCATTCGCATCTAAGAAAATCAAAAGTTGTGGTTGTTGCTCTGCCCATTTTGTTTTTGAATAAGAACTTGTTAATATTTTATGTATTTATAAGGACAAATGTGATATTTTAATTACTTTTATTCATAAATACTTTTCTTCCTCTCCCTGTGCTCTCCACCATGGCTAGCATATGTAAAAGCTCTTTACTTTTGTCCTTAAGGCTTGCAAAGGTCCTATTTTTCTCTTTCCTTGTCTCCTGAAGGGGACTCTATTGTAACTGTACCTAGAACTGTTGAACTTATTTTTAAAAAACAACCTTCTTATTGTATCCAATACAAAAAGAGTTCCATAAAAATGTATACTATTAGAAAAGTAGAAATTAAGTAGTTACTTAAATTAAGTTTTTTATACTTAATCTTGTGTAAATAGCAGGTTCAGAGTTTGTATGTTTACAGCTCCACATGTGTTTTTTGTGGTGGATTTTCTTCTGTTTTTTTTTCCTCCCCTTCCCAGTTCCTGGTATTCATGGGCTCTGAACAGTAACCTCATAAAGTTTGTGACAGTCTTCATGTGAGTTCATTGGTATGAAGTGTCAGGACCTGTAAGCTGTTCCTTTTTTGGTGGTTGTTTTGGTTTTTGTTTATTTTTTTAAACAATGCAATCTACTAAAACCATTCACAAGCTGTATCACTTGTGTCTGAACGTAGTGATTTGTTTTGTAAAGTTTTATTTTGAAGTACTGCTACTGTCTTATTGGAAGAACAATCTGGAAGGACTTAATTGTGCCTTTACCACAGTACACTTTTTTTTTTTTGTCAAAAATGGTTACTTTCAGCTCACAAACATTATCAGAAGCAATTTATATAGTTTCTTTTTTAGCTTGTGTAAAATATACTGCAGTGTTGCACTATAGTGTAACTTAATCGTTGGACGCATTTTCAAAACATGTAATTAACATCAGTGGTGCCAATTGTGAGTAAACATGAATGAAGAAATTAATCTCCAAATCAGGTTCTATTCTTGGAGGATAAGAGATTTAAGAGGCTTGATGTAGTCATCTTCCAGGCCAGAAACTATTGGTATTTTAGAATTACTTCAATGATATGAAATTGTCTTACACTTTGTATAAAAAGTTATTTCTAGAAATTATTCTTTTACCTAGTGTAGTCTTGTAAATAGTTGATATAAGCTGGCTACAGAGCATGATAGGTTGGATAACCATTAATGAGAGACCTGACAAGTTTTAGCCGAATTGTATTCTAGTTAGTTTAGGTCAGAGGATATTTTGGCATGTCCCTATCTGTACTTAGAAAAAATTGGAATCCTGCACAGATAAGTCTGCTTTACAGAATTTCTCCAGGACTTGGGCCTTGCAGGTCTACATTTGATGGAGGTTAGGAGCATCCATCAGAAAAGGTGCAAATCCAAAATAGGTTTGATTGGTTAGTGAATCTATAAAATAATCAATTCCTTTATCTGACTTGATGAATTCCCGTTTCTTGTTTCTGCCAGAAGTATGCATTTTACCACTTAATGAAAATACATTCTACAAGGAGAACATTTTGTAAGGAAATAAATATATTCTAGGTTTTCAAGGACCAGTGACACTGTTGAGAAATATATTGATGTTTTCTCCTTTGAATTGCAAGTGGTACATTTCCTAATTTTAAAATCAATTCATATAAAATAATGATAATTTCTGCTTTTTGAGTTGTGTAACTCTGCTTCCAGAGCTGCGTACAGTAAAGTGAGAGAGACACGGTTTATTTACGATTCTGTGATGTATAGCAAAAATTAGAAATGGAATTAACCTGAACCAAAAGGAAAGTTTTAGAGATTTCCTGAACTTTTAATTTGGCCTTAAAAGAATGTCTACTGAAGTATAAATGACTATCAATAGTAACAATGAAAATGTAAATGACTGTGCTGCTTATTATGTTACAGTGAGACTATCGGAAACCTAGTATGTATCTACTTTATGAGCTGTTTGTTTTTTTTCACTGAGTGACATGTTTCTGAAGTCTTTGGTGTTGCTGACAGTAGACAGTATTACATGCATGATCAGAACAGATCACTGTAACTCCATCTAAATGCTTGCAAATAGATTAGCTCTACAGAACTGAATATGGAAATGAATCTATTATAGTATTTAAAGAAAAAAAACAAACTGTAAGGGAGATAAGTTAAGACTCTGATCTTCAGGTGTATTGCATCTGCCAAGAAGGATCTGAATTCAGTTTAACAAGACCTGGGTTCACACCCCCTTTGCCCTACTCCTTCCCCTGCTTTTGTGTCTTGGTTCTTCCTGGGAGGAGAAAACATCGGTACATATTCTAAAAGGGCAGAGTTCCTGAATGCATCGAGAATCGAAAGTTTTATAATTGTAAACATAACACATGTAGATGATCTGTGCACCCAGATGCACTGCACTGCTAAGAATAACTTAGCTAGTGTTATCCTCTGGATGACTTGTTGACAGATACTTAACTTAGAAGCATAAATTCCTTAGACTAAATGTGTAAATTTGGGATGATATGATTACTTCATCTGTCTTTTCAGTTATGTATTTGTGAATGCACATATATATTGCGTAAGAACTCTAGTCTTGCAAGTGTAAAAAGTTGTTTCACTGAAGCAGAGTTGATACACAACAATGCTGAACACTACTGGGGGATTGTGAAGCCCCATACAGATAATTGATACACTTGCTGTATTCAGGAATTTATTGATGTGATTTTAATGTTACCTGTGTCTATTTCTGAGCCTATAACAGACTTTCTTTTAGCATCTGCCACTGTATGTTCCTGAAGTGCTTGCTAAGACATGAATAAAATTCAACTAATGAGAAAAGAAGGAAATAAAGAAAGGCTAATGGTAAAATCCCATGTAGAGAAACAAGAATGTTGTTGCTGAGGTGCACAGCATGCACAACTAAGCATGTTTACATTCACATTTTGGTTTTGTGAGTATTTTATTTGATTTATAAAGGATGTCTGTGCAACAGAAAGGAGCTGTAAGAACTGAAACTGTACTGATGCAAGTGCAATGGAATTTTGAAATATACTGGCTTCAGAGGTGAAAGCAGGACAGCATAAGGCCTAACCTTTATATGATATCACAAGTTTATATTTAACTGATTCCAGTTCTGAAAGAAATTGTCTAGGTTGTATCTACTCACAGCAACTTAAATGTATGGTTAGATAGTTATAAATAGTTATATCCTCAGTGTACACCTCTACAGGAAACTGTGCAGTAGGAGGCAGAGCAAGCTTTAGCACCCTTTCAAATAGTAACTATGGACATCTAGGCAGAAATTTCCTTACTTGCCAAAGAGGTTTGAACAGCCACCAGCCTCCCTCAGGTGGATTTGAAAAGCTCAGCCTGAAGGATTGCATGACCAGGGAGCTCTCCATGGTGCTCCTGGCACCAATCCTTTCCCTGCAGTGTGCCTGGCTGTGTCTGAGCTCTTCCATGCAGCAGGTAGCAAGGTGCACAGGGTGGTAACTCCAAAATGTCCTTTAAGACCTGAGGTGAACTTCACCCATTGTGGAACTTCTGTCATTTGAGTGAGACTAGGTCCTAATTCACAGTTGCAGTTAAGAGTTAGTGTCTGAAACGTGGTGTATAAGGAGAATGGTTCCGTGATGCATGCTTATCAAGTCTATGAGGGGGAAGGTATGATTGCAGTAATTGAAATGCTAACAAACACAGCATTTAGCAGTGCGCACTGATGGAGGCTATGTAATTAGAGTCTAAAATGAAATGGCATTGTCAGTGTCTTACTAAGTTCTCAAGAAGTACTGGTTTTCAACACGTAGCTTTTGTATCTGTGCAATGAACAAACTTTTTATAAGTTTTCTGAAAGCTTGACTAAAAAATGTGTGTTTTGTAAGAGCATTTGTTGCAACTGCATTTCTTTCAGTTTGACAAAGCTATCAGTAATTGTTTGGGTTGTATGAGACAGTGGAAATATCGTCTTTGAAGTTGTTTTTGGTGACTGGTGAAAATATTTTCATTGACTTTGAAAAAGCACAGCTCATTCCAACTTGTGATGGTTGTGTTGCAGAGTAAAACTTTGAGTTACTTTGTTGTGTCACTGAAAAAAATGTTCAGTAAGAGATTCTTGGCTGTATTCAGCATTTACTTGGTTGATGCTGTCTTTCAAGCATTCATGATATAAAGGATTAGTCTTGCATATTAGTGGATTTTGTTTTGTTCATTATCTTTTTATTTTTTTAATGTGTGTTGTTCCAGAATACCCTATTCTGCTTAGTCCCATTTCGTGTTGGCAGAAAACAGCCCACTTATATTTTCTTTTAAATAATTATTGTTGTTTTTTGTTTTATAAATCATTTTCTTCCAATACAAGCAGCAACTTGTGAGACAGCAAATCAAATACTCGTTTTAATATTGTTGAACAGTGAGCATAAGGTCTAAATGTTGTTTTTCATTGTTCTTGTATTTGAATTTCTGGCAGAAATGCAAATTGATTTGGATCTGTTCTGGTAAAATGCTAAGTATTCCATGGCTGTTAGAAAACCTACTTTATATGACTGCTTTAACTCTCTTGGTCTTCGTCCTTCATATGATACTTAATATGTATCTCCATAAGTTTATTTATTGATGTTCCATGTTTTTAAGTGTTCATTCATGTATTTAATTTTGTCAGCACTGCATTTATTATGTTTGCCTTGCCCTTCAGTATACTTAATATGTGTTTGTGACCATCCAGTGTTTTGTGGGGTTTTTTTGTTTGTTTTTGCAGAATGCTTAGGTTTGTGTTTTATTTGATATATTATTATTATTTTAGACCTTCAATTCTGTTTTCATCAATAAATGTAAATCACCCCCTGATGCTAATTTGCCACTTGTTAACAATAAAGTGAATATGCCAATAAAACTTCTTGAAATGCATGTTTATTTTTTGTAATTGTATGTGAAATCACCTTAAATAAAATACCATAAGGATAGGTAATATCATTTCAGATTTAAAATATTGTAATGTATTTCATCTCTGGGAAACCATACCTATTGGGAGGACACACCCACTGTCTTTTCCTAGAAGGATAGATTTTTTTTTTTTCAATTGACTTGCGGGATAAGATTTGTATATATCTGTTGCCTTGAAGAATAATCTATACCAAATACTTAAATTAGTAGTATTTGCTCATATGAATTTAACACGTTGCAGGAATCATCTGCAGTATGCGTACCTGGCCATGTTGCTTACCCAACAAATATCTGGATAATTAAAATCCCCCATAAGAACCAACATCTGGCATCACAAGGCTACTTCCAGCTGCTTGTAGAAGGCCTCATCAAACTCCTCTTTGCCTGAAGACTGGAAGATAGCCACTGTCATTCCGGTGCTCAGAAAGGGCGAGAAGGAGGATCCAGGAAACTACAGGCCAGTCAGCCTCGCCTCCATCCCTAGAAAGGTGATGGAACAGCTTGTTCTGGATGCCATCTCCAAGCAATTGGAAGAGAAGGAGGTTAGCAGGAATAGTCAGTGAGGGTTCACTCGGGAGGCAGTCATGCTTGACCAACCTGGTAGCCTTCTATGATCTCATCACTGGATGGGGGGAGATCAGTGGATATAGTCTCCTTGATTTCAGCAAGGCGTTTGATACTGTCTCCCACAACATCCTTATAACAAAGCTGAGGAAGTGTGGAATAGGTGAGTGGATGGTGAGAACTGGCTGACTGACTAAGCTCAGAATGTTGTGATCTGGCTTAGAGTCCAGTTGGAGGCTTGTATTTAGTGGTGTTCCTCAGGGGTTGGTGCTGGGTCTGATATTGTTCAACATCTTCATCAATAACTCTGAGGAGGGGATAGTGTACACCCTCAGCAAGTTTCCTGATGATATGAAGCTGGGAGGAATGGCTGCCCCAGCAGAAGGCTATGCTGCCAGTCAGCAAGTCACTGGACAGGCTGGAGACTTGGGCAGGGAGAAATCAGATGAGATTTAACAAAAGCAGTTGTAGTGTTTTGCACCTAGAAAGGAATAACTGCATGTACCAGTAAAAGCTGGGGGATGACCTGCTGGAGAGGAGCTCTGCAGAGAGGGACCATGGGGTCCTGGTGGACAACAGGTTGGCCATGAGCCAGCAGTGTGTCCTGGTGGTCAAGAAAGCCAATGGCATCCTGGGATGCATTAAAGAGTGTGGCCAGCAGGTCAACAGAGGTGATCCTCCCTCTCTACTCTGCCTTGGTGAGGCCTCATATGGAGTATTGTCTCCAGTTCTGATCTCCCTGGTACTAGAAAGACAAGGATCTCCTGAAGAGAGTCCAGTGGAGGGCTGCAAAGATAATAAAGGGCCTGGTTCAGCTTTCTTACAAGGAAAGACACAGTGACCTGGGTCTGTTCAGCCTTGAGAAAAGAAGACTGAGAGGGAATCTGATCAATGTCTATAAATATTTGAAGTATGGGAGGCATAGGGATGAGGCCAGACTCTCTTCGGTGGTGTGTGGCAACCGGACAAGGGGAAATGGCCACAAACTGAAGCATAGGAAGTTCCACAAAATTGTGCTCAAGAACTTCTTCACAGTAAGTGACAGAGCAATGGCACAGGCTGCCCAGAGAGAGGCTGTGGACTGTCCTTTTTTGGAGACATTCAAGACCTGCCTGGACACCTACCTGTGCAGCCTGCTGTAGGGGGCCTCCTTTGGCGGGGGTTGGACTCGATTGTCTCTAGAGGTCACTTCCAACCCCTACAATTCTGTGATTCTGTTAACTTAATTCTGTATGCCTTTCCCAGCCATTTGGGATACTTAGTTAATATACAGATGTAGAGTGTGTCACTGTGATACCTGCAGTATTATTTCTTTTAATCTATAAAATATAACCTGTAACTAAACTTGATCTGGATTCTTTCTGCTTTGTATAAAGTCAAAGCATGTTTTGCTGACAAAATGAAACAGAAGTTATATTCTTCCAGAGAAGTTCTATTATGTGACCAGAAATTATAAAAAGGATTGGGCTCATGATTTTTTTTTTTTAAAAGGGCTCAGTGGAGACCAGTTCTTCTTTTTCTTTCTTCTTTTCAGGGGAAAGTTCCTCCTGATGGCTTTCATTTATTTCACCACAATCTCCAGAGGAAAGCAGACATATTTTTCCTTCATTCTGGATGAAACTTTTGCTAAAAAGCTGCAAAATCTTGTCAGTACTAAGATCGCGTAGTAACTCCTAAGAGGAAGGAAACTAAAGAAAAAATCAGGAGTGAGATTTAGCTGAGCAACTTTGGCAGTTAAATGGTGTAAAGTGAAATATAAACCCAGGGACTTTTCTTTATTTGATTTTCTAAACACCAGAAATTCTTTCCTCTCAGAAGAATGCATAACTGGCTCTTTACTGTTAGAAATTACTTAAATTACTTAATATCTTACTTAAAGGAGTTAATCTCTTTCTGTTCAATTCACATGATTCCTTGCAACCATGGTCCCTTAGCCCATTTCCTGCAAAGCAGTTTGGTTTAAGCACATTTATAATTTCAGAGAAGGCTGGAGAAGGTTCTGAGAAGAAAGAAATCAAGAAGCAGAAATCGCTGTTTGGCAGTATGACTGTGCATGTAAGCAAAGTGGCAGTAAGAATTATGCAAGCAGCATATTTATTAAGAGAAGCAACCAGGAAAACCACAATTTCATAACCACACAATCTAAAATTATTTTCTGGACCTTAGTATGATCTTTCCCCAAAAGGAAAGGCCAAAATAGGCCAAAAACTGCTTGATTGGCCTCAAACTCTGACTTCTGGAATGCTGCTTAAATTATTTAAAATAACTGAATGTTATGATTTCAATAGTAATATTTCATCTGTGTATTCTTGTATTTCACACTGACTTTACCTTGCGAAGTGATAATGGTTACTAGAAAATAAGTCTTGGCTTCCAACTGTTCCTAAGTTTCAAAAAAATAGCTGCTATTCTTCAGGGAAATTTAGTCAGTGCCAAGTGGGACTTTTTCAGTAGAAGTTTAATTGTAGTTTTGGTACTCTCACTTGCAGTACAACACCAGAAAGTCTCTTTTCTGTTTAATGGAAGGGTTATGGATTTTGAATTGTTTTTTCATTTGATTTGTTTTTCTTTATTTGTTTGTTTGTTTGTTTTGCTCTTGTTTAATGGGTGCACTTCTCTCCCCCACTTTGACTCCCTTAGATCAAGAGCTGAGAAGAATAGTTGAAAGCCTCAGTCACAGTTTTTACAAAGGTGCTTCTAACTCAAGAAGTTCCCTAACTATAAATAGATGTGGGGTTGAGGAAGGAGAAGCACCACAGTGTGTTTAATTTGCCCTTAACTTCTTCCATTACTGTTAGAAGTAGAGCACACTCAGTTCCATGGATTCAGTAGAACAGACCTTAGTCCAATCAGAAGAGATCCCTACAGTTGTTTGAAAGATATCCCATCATTTGGGGGATACCAAAGATTTCATAGAATCTTCAAATCATCAAGGTTGAAAAATACATCTAAGATCATCCTGTCCAACTGTATACCTACCACCAAAATTTCCCCACTAAACTATGTTCCTTGGTACAACATCTGAATTTTACTTGCACATCTGAGGGATAATGACTCCACCACCTCCCTAGGCAGCCTTTTACAGCATCTAACTATGCTTTCAGCAAAAAAAAAATTCCTAACATCCAACCTGAGTCTCTCCTGGCACAACCTGAAGCCATTCCCTCTTGTCCTATCGCTAGTTACCTAGAAGAGACAAACTGCCACCCTCCTACAATGTCTTTTCAGGCAGAGGTCTCACCTGAGCTTCCTTTTCTCCAGAATAAATGATCCCAGTTCCTTCAGCTTCTGGTCTTAAGACTCATGCTTCAGACCCCACACCAGCTTCATTACCCTTCTCTGAACGTGCTCTAGGGTCTTAATGTCCTTCTTGTAGAGAGAGGCCCAAAACTGAACACACTACTCAAGATGCTGCCTCACCAGGGTGGAGTACAGAGTACAGATCATTTCCTTGCTCCAGCTGGCAGCACTATTTCTGATACAAGTTAGGATGCTGTTGGCCTTCTTGGCTACCTGGGCACACTGGTGGTTCACATTCAGCTGAGTGATGACCTACACCTCCAGATCCATTTCTTCCACATAGTTTTCCAACCACTCTGCCCCAAACCTATAGCATTGCCTGGGGCTTGTTCTTGTTGAACTTCATCCCGTTGGCCTTAGTCCAGCTATCCAACCTCTGTAGGGCCTTCCTACCCCCAAGTAGATAGATTCTTCCTCATAACTTGTTTTCATCTTCAAACTTAGCAAAGGTGTGCTTAAACCCATCATCCAGGTCATCCAAAAAGATCACAGAATCACAGAATTGTAGGGGTTGGAAGGGACCTCCAGAGATCATCGAGTCCAACCTCCCTGCCAAAGCAGGTTCCCTACACCAGGTAGATATTGGACAGGCCCCAGTACCAATCCCTGGGAACACCACTCATGACCAGTTGCCAGCTGGATTTAACTCCATTTACCACCACCTTCTGGGCGTGGTCATCCAGCCAGCTCTTTACCCAGCATAGAGTGTAGTTCCACAGAAAACATTCGCTCTCTTTCAGGAAACAGCAAACTTATTTGAAGATGTCCCAGAATATTTAGTCCATGGTGAATACCTGGTCTGGAAGTCTGCTTAAATTTGCCAAGTTATAAGCAATTTAAAAAAATGACATCTTATAATGGGAATTCCCAAGCAGTTAGAAGTTATAAAAGTAACTATTCCTTCAGTGATTAATTGTGGGGGAAAAAAGTGAAAAAGAAGACTAACAGCTAAAAAACTAGCAGCCCAATTCCAAAGAAGGTAAATATTTTATTACCACGAATTATATCAAAGTAAGAAAATGCAAAAGAGTTAAAAACAACTATAAAAATACCTCTATTTATCCAAAATTAAATATGAACACTTCA